GAGGCCGAAGACGGCGCGGGCGACGGCGTCCGGCGCCGCGCCGACGGGCGGCCGCGGCGGCGGCGGGCCGCCGCGGCGCGCGCCGCCGCCGAAGGACAGCGGCGCCGCGTCGTCGGCCGCGGCGCCGCCGCGGAGGCAGCAGCGGTAGAAGGGCTCCTCGAGCACGGCGAGGTCGCAGGCCTCGACGGCGCGGAGCATGGACTCGGCGCGCGCCGACGGCCGGAGCACGCGGTCCCGCCCGACGAGGTCGCCCGGCGTCACGCGCCGCGCGCCGTCGACGGTCAGCCGCCCGCTCAGCAGCACGAAGCAGTAGTGGTCCTCCGGTGACAGGCGCAGGGCCTCGCCGCGGTCCAGGCGGAGCAGCTCCATGCGCGACGCGAGCCGCTCCGCCGTCGCGCGCGGCACGCCGAGGAAGAAGGGCACGTGGCACAACAGCGACGCGCAGAACGCGCGGACGTCGTGGCCGCTCCGCTCCGTCGGGTGCGTCGCGAGGAAGCGCGTGCAGTGCTCGAGGCTGTAGGGCAAATCGGAGGGGAACTGCGACGCGACGTACGCGCGGAGGTCGAGCTCGAGGACCTCCGCGCGCGTCTCCGCGCGGACGACGACGCCGTCGAGGACGACGTCGTCGTCGAAGAAGGCGCCGCCCGCGGGCCGGAGCCGCGCCGACGTCGCCGCCTCGAGCGCGCGCGGCGGGTACGCGTCGCCGCGGACGAGCCGGCACGCGCCGTCGGGCGCGCGCGGGTCGCCGGCGCCGACCGCGCCGCCGAGCACCGCGACGAGCGCGCCGTCGAGGTCGGCCCCGTGGGCGACGATCGCGCCGGCGTCGACGTCGCGCAGCGTCAGCAGGCGGCTCGCGGCCGCGCGCGCGTCGACGCCGAGCTGGAGCATGAACCGGAGCCGGCCGACGAGGGACCTGGGCAGCACAAGGGTGATTCAACGTCGCTTCAACGTGAGTGTTCCGCGCGCGCGCGTTCCGGAAAAAGCATCCACGCTTCGAGACCGTTCCGAGAGATGATCGCCCGTCCAAAAATCAGCCAAAACGAGTGGAAAACGGCCGAGATAGGAGCCTTTGAAGTTGGGAATTTCGCTCTCTTGTCCCGCCCTGCGAGGGACCGGACGACGGCGTCGTCGTCGGGCGACCGCCGCGGCGGCGGGCTCCGGAGCAGGGCCCGCGCGAGCTCCGGCGCGTAGCAGAGGCCCGTCGCCGGCAGCACCTCGACGGCGTCGCCCACGGGGAGCACGCCGACGAGGCAGTCGCGCGCCGCGACGACGCAGCGATGCGGCAGCCCGACGGCGTCGCGCGCGTCGTCCGCGCGGTAGCCGAAGGTGTCGCCGGGCTTGAGCACCCAGGGCCCCTGGGTCAGCTCGCCCTCGAGGACGACGTGGAGCGCGTTCTCGTAGCACTCGCCGCTGAGGTAGACCCTCGACCCGGCGACGAGCGGCCGCAGGACGAGGCGCGCGCACAACGTCGCCGTCGCCGTGGCGTCGAACTGCTTGAAGAAGCGCAGCGGCGCCACGACGCGGCAGAGGCCGAAGAGCTGCTCCGCGCTGCGCGGCATGGGTTCGAAGCGCTCCGCAGTTTCTCACATCGCGCCGGGGCAGCCCTCGTTTCGGCCCCGAGGCGATACGTGCCGGGACGGTATCTTTATCGTTTTGCTTGCACGTCGACAGCGCGCTAGCGGCGCCCCCCCCCACCCCGCGCTCCGCCGCACCGCCGCCGCGCCCCGGAGCGCGCGCGCCGCCCGGTGTGCGACCATGGAGGGCAGCGCCTACATCCACAGCACGTCGCCGAAGCCCGTGTCGTCGAAGATGAAGAAGGCCTACCGCGACGAGGACGAGGAGAACCTGGCGGGCAACAACATCATGTTCGACCGGCGCGTCGTGCGGGGCAACACCTACGCGGCCCAGGTCGTGACCCAGAACGCGCAGCGCGAGGTCGAGCGGCTGCGGCAGGAGAACGAGCGCACGCTGCGCCGCGAGGCGACGCGGCGGCGGCGCGAACAGCTCGAGAAGCCGTCGACGCCGCCGGCCGTCGACGGCCGCGCGCACATGGAGGCCCAGACGGAGACCTTCCTCGAGGAGCTCGCGGACCGGCCCGTCGAGGCCGAGGCGACGACGCAGACCGAGCCCTTCGTCGACCGGCCGCCGCAGGTGCTCTTCGTGCCGAGCAAGACGGGCGTCGACAAAGAAACCGAAATCCCCGGCGGCGACCTCTTCGACTTCGACGTCGAGGTCAAGCCCATCCTCGAGGTGCTCGTGGGCAAGACGCTGCGCATCTCCATGCTCGAGGTCATGGAGGAGGAGGAGCTCGAGGCCATCCGCCGCCGGCAGCGCGAGTTCGAGCAGATGCGGAACGCGGAGCTCATGGAGGTCCAGCGCCTCGACGCGGAGGCGAGCCGCAAGTTCGCCGAGAAGCAGCGCCGCGTCGCCCAGGAGAAGGAGCGCCTGCGCATGCAGGCCGAGCTCGAGACGAAGGTCGCCGCGCGGTCCTTCGCTCGCAACTACCTCGTCGACCTCTCCGACGCGGTCTTCGACGCGCTCGAGACCACGGGCCACTTCTACGACCCCGTGCTCAAGGAGGTCGAGGACGTCTTCCTCCCCTGGCTCCTCGACGGCGTCGTTGCCGACGCGGACAACCACGGCGCCGCGCGCGCGTGCTCGGACGCGCTCGTCGCCGACGCCATGGAGCTCGCGGCCGCGACGCAGGCCGCGGTGCTGGCCGACATCAAGGCCAAGGAGGAGGCGCGCCTCGCCGCCATCGCCGAGGCCGAGCGCCTCGCCGCCGAGGAGGCCGCGCGGCTCGAGGCCGAGGCCGCGGCCGCGGCCGAGGCCGAGGCCGCCGCCGCGGACGCGCCCGCGGAGGAGTAGCCGCGCGCCGCCGCGCCCCGGCCGCCCCCCCGCGGACCCCCCCGGGCGCGCCCCCCCCCCCCCGAGTAACGAGCACGACGCGGGAGGAGATTCGAGAGGTCGTTACTGAAAAAGGCGGATGGTGCGGCACGGGAGGAGACTCGAGGGGTCGTTACTGAAAAAGGCGGATGGTACGCGGAAGGGCACGGTCGCCTTCGATAGGGGGGGCGTTTAGCACGCCACGGGCGGCGCCGTCGCGGGCGGCGCGGCCGCGGGGTCCCGCGGCGTCTTGCACTTGAGGTCGTCGTCGCCGCCGGCGAGCGCGTCGACCTTGGCGCGGTCGTCGCCGTCGGCCGGCGGCTCGCCGGGCGACTCGCCGGCGGCCGTCGACGCGGTGTCGACGCGCTCGGCCTCGGCGGCCTTGGCGAGGTTGCCCTCGGAGGCGATCTTGGGCAGGGCGCGCGGCGTCTCGCGGTAGGCCGCGCGGCGCTCCGCGGGCTTGGGCGCCGGCCGGCCGTCGAACGACGGGCGGTCGCCGCGGTCGAACGTGAGCCGGAGGAGCTGCATCGCGCCGTTCGCCGTCGCCTTGAGCAGGTCGAACCACTTGGCGCCGCAGACCTCCTCGACGTTCGCGCGCCGCTCGGGCTCGACCTGGAGCAGCATCTCCAGCAGCCTGCGCACGGGCTCCGACGGGGGCGTCTCCGCGGACCCGAGCTTCGCGCGGCTCACGGCCTCGCGGATGCCGCGGGAGAACGCGGACACGTCGTGGAGGTGCTCGTAGGGCGGGCACCAGAGGCTGTCGAAGGCGCGGTGGCCCAGGAGCATCTCGACCATGACCGCGCCCATGGACCACGCGTCCGCGAGCGGGCCGTCGTACTGGCGCCGGATCATGAGCTCGGGCGCGAAGAAGCCCGGCGACCCCACAAAGTCGTTGAGCATGGCGCCGTCGTGGACCGACGCGCACAGTCCAAAGTCGCAGAGCTTCACGATGCCCGCGCGGTCGTCCGCGCCGGCCCACGTGAGCGGGTCGCCGACGACGAGAATGTTCTCGGGTTTGATGTCGCGGTGCGCGACGCCCGCGTTGTGGCAGTGGCGCAGCCCCAGGGCGAGGATGCGCATCACCTGCTTCACGACGGGCTCCGGGCAGCCCTCCGGGTGGTCGTCGAGGAACGTGAAGAGGTCCCGCTCGCCCATCTCCATGACGAGGTAGACGAACGAGTTGCTCTGGACGACGTCGTAGAGCTGGCAGATGCCGCCGTGGCGGAAGCGCCGCATGGCCGCGACCTCGAGGTTCACGCGCCGGATGTTGCGCTTGCTCTTGAGGATCGACGAGTGGCGCTGGACCTTGGCCTTGTTGATCGCCTTCACCGCGTACCGCTTCCCGTCGGGGCCGTCCGCGGCGCGCTTGCACTCGTAGACGGCGGCGAACTCGCCCTCGCCGAGGCGCCGCGTCAGCTCGTAGGCGCCGATGGTGCCGCCGGCGCCCTTGGCCAGCGGCACCTCGACGAGGTCCTCGCAGATCGGGGGCAGGTCCGCCTGGGCGGCCCAGGTGCTCTCGAGGGAGCTGTTCTGGGGCGCCATGGCGACCGCCGACGCCGGGCACGGCCCCGGCGGCGGGCGACCGGCCCGCCCGGACGGCGCCGACCGCCGCGCGGGGGCCGGAGGCGGGGGCTGCCCCGACGAGACGACGTGCGCGCTGGGAGAGCCCCTCAGCAAAATCGATTGAGTCATACGGAGCTTGACGCTAACGTGAAGGCAAGCAACCGTCAATGGAGCCCGCGGCGCACCATGAAAACTCGTCAACTTTTACCCCCAATTGTCGTCGTTGACGTCGCAGGTCGCGCAGGACCCGACGACCGTCGGCGCCACCCCGCCGTAGGCCGCGGCTAGGTCGCCGATGAGGCCGCGCGCCGCGCCGACGGACGCGACGACGGTGTAGTCGTCGCGGTGCGTCATGCAGTCGGACACGGCCAGCGCCCGGCGCTCGTCGAAGGAGTACTCCACGCCCATGGGGCAGAGGCAGGTCAGCGCGCAGTCGCCCGTCGCCTCGTCGTCCGCGTAGTAGCACCTGGGCAGGAAAAGGGTGCGAAATTCCCAACTTCAAAGGCTCCTATCTCGGTCGTTTTCCGCTCGTTTCGGCTGATTTTTGGACGAGCGATCATCTCTCGGAGCGCTCTCGAAGCGTGGGTGCTGTTTCCGAAATGCGCGCGCGCGGAACACTCATGTTGAAGCGACGTTGAATCTCTCTTGTGTGGCCCTGAGTAGCACGGCGCGCCCATGCACGTCGTCGACAGCAGCTCGGACGTCACGCCCGCCGGTTCCAGATCGAGGCGCCGCCGGTAGCCCGACGAGTGGAAGGAGACGAGGTCGCAGCCCAGGCCGCTCTCGCGGCAGACCGTGCCGTCGCCGAGCGCGGCGCAGAACGCCGCGACGTCGTCGTCGCCGAGGGTGCCCCCGAAGGAGGCGACGACGGCGCTGCGGAAGGTCTGCGAGTCGGCGAGGTGGATCGTCGACCCGGACATGTAGAAGTTCGACTCGTCCGTCTCCTCCTTGCACGCGCACGCGGCCACGGAGCGCGACGCGTCGCCGTAGGGGCTGCACGACGCCTCGCCGCAGAGCGCGTAGGTCGGCGTCGCCTCGGCGTCGCCCGTGCAGATGACGTGGGCGCTGTAGTCCTGCGTGACGAGGATGTCGTAGACGACGTCGAATTGCTGCTCGAAGTCGAGGTCCTCGAAGGCCGCGAGGGCCGCCGGCGCCGACCGCGGCGCCGCGGGCTGCCCGACGGCGACGGCGGCGAGGGCGAGGCAGCCCAGGCCGGCGCCGAGCGCCGCGAAGCGCCAGCGCGGCGCGGGCCGGGCGCCGACGAGCGCCGTCGACTCGTCAGCCGATCCCATCGTCCACACCCGCGAGTCGAACCCGAAAGAAATCGCGAAATTGCCCTGCACGCAAGAGGCAGGCAGAGGCGTAGGCAGTGAACCACCTCACGACAGCAAGCACCACTAACTAACTACCCCAGAGTCGCGACTTGCTCAAAATGAGTGGTCAAAACAGCTGCAACATGGGGTCAACGAAGCCTGTGAACCACCCGTCCTGGCCGATCGGCAGCTGGAGGGCTGCTCGGCCACGACCTCCACACGGTCGAAATTTATGATCGAGTGCCAAAACCACCAATTTGCTCGAGCTCGAGATCAAAACTGGTCGATAGAGCCAAAACAAGCATATTTCCGGTGGATTCGAGTGGTCTCCAGCGGCCCCAGGGGTACCACCCCCACCACCACCACCACTACCTCACCCCATTCTCAGAGCACCCATCTCAGATCAGCATGACAGTGGTTAAGGTTGTTTGTGCATACCTCTTGCCTGCACGATGAAGTTTTCATTTTTAAGGTACAGAGAGCCGCGCGCGCGGCTGTCGCGCGCGCGCGGGGGTTTGCGCCGCGGCGGGTCAGACGGAGTAGGGCGCCGTCTGGGGCGTCGCGGCGCGCTGGCCCGGCGTCGGCGGCGGCGTCGCGAGCTCGCTCGCGTCGCCCGCGCGCGGCGGCTGAGCGGACGGCCGGCGGCCGAGCGACGACAGCGGGAACGCGGCGCCCGGCGGCGGCGGCGGCGGCGGCGTCGCCGGCGCGAGGCGCGGCGCGATGGGCGTCGCGCCGCGCGGCGTCGCGCGCGCGATGGGCGTCGTGCCGAGCACGTCCGTGCCCGCGAGCGGAATCCGCGGCGCGCCGCCGTCCTGCCAGGGCCGCGACGCGAGCGCGTGCTCCACGGTCTTCGCCTTGCGCATGCGCGCCAGGGCGTCGTCGACGCGGCCCTCGCGGCGCAGGGACACGGCCTCCGTCTTGAGCTCCGCCGCGCGGCCCCGGAGCCTGCGCGGAACTCACATCTTCAACCCGACTTCAATGTGCGCATACGTGAACGGGCTGGACCAGACGCTTCGGCCGGGCTTCGAGAACCCAACGAGAGCCATCCATTCGTCCAAACATCAGCCACATCGACGTCGATGTGACCGAGCTCGAGAGTTCCGAAGTTTGGCGGGGACCCCCCGAACCGGCGGTTGATGTCCACACAGCCCGGAGCTCGTCCGAGATGCGCGCCGCGGGCGTCGCCGGCGACGCGTCGCCGCTCTCGCGCTGTGCCGCGCGGTTCGCCTTGATGTGCTGCTGGAGCGACGCGTGGATGCCGAGGAGCACCGTGAGCTTCGACGCGTCGCCGGGCAGCGACCGGAGCGCGTCCGCGAGGTGGCCGAGCACGAAGTCGTCGGCCGTCGCGAGCATGCGCCGGCTCTTGCCCAGCGTCGCCTCGTCGATGGCCCGCGTCGCCGCGAGGGCCAACAGCTCGTCGCCGAGCGCCGCGCGCCGCGCGTCGACCTCATCGTCCGTCGCCGCGGCCGCCGGCGGCGGCGCGGGCCGGCCCGCCGCCGACGCCGCGAGGCCGCCCCAGAAGCGCGGGCCGTCCTCGATGGGGCTCGGCGTCGGCCGCGGCGCGATGGGCCGCGGCGCGAGCCGCCGCTCCTTGGCGAGCGCGCGGTCGCGCTTCTTCTTGCTCTCGCGGCGGCCGCCGTGCCCCCCGCGGCCCCGGCCGCCGCCGCCGCGGCTCCCGCGGCCGCCGCCGCGCCGCGCGTCGGCCGCGCCCGTCGCCTCGGCCGACAGCGGGCCCTCGAGGAGCGTCTGCGCGCGCGCGGGGGGGGCGGGGCCGTCGCGGCGGGCGCCGCGCGCGCGGGGGAACGGGCGCCGCGCGCGCGCCAGCATCTCGTCGTAGATGTCGTCGGACTTGCGCCGGTCCCGCGTCTTCGGCGACGCGGCCTCCGGGGGCGGCCGCGGCGACGCGGCGGCGCCGTCGCCGGCCCCGCGGCCCTCGAAGTAGCCGTCGTCGAGCGACTGGAGCGCGAGCAGGTAGTCGGCGGACGCGCCCGGCGGCGTCGTCGGCTCGAGGCGGTCGATGGACAGCTGGCGCAGCTCCCGCGGCTCGTCGAGCCACCTGCGCGCGCGCGGTTTCGCTCGGGGGCGGCGCGCGGGGCGGCGAGGGGGCGGCGGGAGACCCGGGGCCGCGCGAGTCGTCGGCCAGGGCGTCGTCGAGGACGGCGCCGTCGTCGTCGAGCGCGTACCAGAGGTTGGCGAGATCGTCCTCCTTGGAGGCGGAGCGCCCGTAGTCGCGGCTCCGGCTCCGCGACGCGAGGCGCGTGGGGAGGTCGTCGAGATCCCGGGTGTCCATCGAGGGCGAGAGCGTGTGGTACTGCGTCGGCGCGATGGACGCACCTCCGTCGGCTGGGGCGTCGGCGGGATCACGGAAACGACCGTCGGCGCCGGGCAGGGCACGACGGGCGCGGGAGAGCACTCCCACACTCTTTGTGGTCCGGAGGCTGCCCATTTGTGAAGGCAACTTGCAGCTCCAAGACTAGCGTAGTAAGCCCTAGTGTTCAAAGGCTGCGGACGATGCCGATCGTGTTGTTGAGGAGGGATCTGGGGGCTGCCCTCGTCCGCGCCAACATCCGCCCTATGTCCGCCTCTGACCCGAAGTGCCGCGTTGGAGTTTTTTGGGATTTCGAGAATGTGAGAATTCCAACCGGGACGCGCCCGGAAATCGCTGCGCGACGGCTGCGCGAGGCCGTGCTCCCCTTTGGCCAGATCATAGAGAGCAAGATCTACTACGACTCTCGGAAGGTGTCCGAGCAGGCGACGCACCGCGAGAGGCTGGACCAGAGCGGATTCACGCTCGTCGACTGCCCGACGCGAGGCACGAAGGAGACGCTGGACAAAAAGCTCATCGTCGACATCATGCAGTTCGCGCACATGATGCCCCAGCCGAGCTGCGTGGTCCTGGTCACGAGCGACGGCGATTACTGCTACACGCTCGCCAAGATCAACGGCCTCGGTGTCAAGACCATCGTCATCTACGGGCCCGAGTCTTCGACGCCCGGCATCCTCATAGACACGGCGGCCCACGCAATCTCGTGGCGCCAAGATGTGCTCAATCTCGACCTGCCCGAGGCCGACCTAGACGAATATTCCTCTGCGAGCCCGCCCGAGCAAGGCTCCGAACCGGGTGGACAATCGAGGCTCGACATTCAGCCTTCCGTGCACGACGCCCTCAATGGTAACCACCTCATGCTCTGTCGCTGCATCCGCGAGCTGGCGGCGTGCGAAGGCGACTGGGTGGAGTACAGCAAAGTGGCCATCGAATTCCACCAGAAGCGCGGCTGCACGTCGAAGATGGTGGGCGACGAAAACAAGCGGATAATGAGGGCCGCGCGCGAGTCTGCCAAACGAGGCGGTTTCGTCAAATGTGGCCGCAAGGATATGAATTCGGGCGAAATCGTTGAGACCGACGCGCCGGCGCAGACGGATACCCTCTCGACGTCGATGTATGTGTGCTTGACGCCTCACGGCCGGATGCAACTCGACATCGGGCCGTGGCATGCCGGGTATGCCGTTGTGAACACAAACCAGGAGATGATGGAAGAGGAGCCCGTAACACGCTCCGCGCCGTCGGAGAAGCGCACCACGAATGAAACCGAAGCTGCCGCATCGTCGCCGCCGGCGAAGCGACATCGCAGCGAATGCCTTTATTATAAACGTACGCTCTGCACGTATTACGAGCGCGGCAATTGCAAGGAGGGTGACAAATGCACGTACGCTCACGGTCAAGCCGAACTCCGAAAGTCATTCGGAGGCTTGGTGCAGCCGTGCAGATACTGGAACGGGAAGCCCGGCAGCTGCCCCCACGATAATTGCCTGTTCGCCCACGACCAGCCAACACAGCAGCACCTGGTCGTAGATCTAGCAGACCGCCGACCACGGCATGCCCAGGCGGGCCCGCGCTATGTTCCCGCCGACGCGCATTCGCCGCGCGCAGATGCTGGCCTGAGCCCCGCGGCGGCGACAAACCTCGCTCTCGACAGCGGCCTGAGCGCGAGTCGCAACCCCGGAACTTTCCACCACGGTCAGCCGTAAAGTCACATGTGCTGTGTGTGATGCAGTGGATTCGCTTACTTCGGCCGTGGGGAGCCGACCCGAAGCCTAAATCCACGCCGCGAAATGAAATTAGAGCGCCACGTCGAGAAAGAGCGTCAGGTCCGGCCCCGCGACGGAGAGGAGCGACTTGAGCGCGTCGTAGATCGCGAACTGGCCCGAGATGACGAGGCCGGACCACGCGCAGCGCGCGCCCGCGCCGCGGTAGAAGCCGCGGACGTGGCCCTCGCCCCAGATGGCCTCGACGGCGCCGGCGACGCCGAGGTCGCCGCGGTCCGCGTTGATGCGGCTCAGCACCGCGTCCGCGGGCTGCGACACGAGCGAGCTCGCCGTGCCCGCGACGAGGCCCGCGACGAGCGACACGGCGAGGCGCCCGCCGGCGCCGTCGGCGAGGGCCGGCGCGGCCTCGAAGATCGCGTCGGCGAGCGAGTCGAAGAAGAAGAACTTGACCATGCCGAAGATGACCTGGCGGATGAAGAGCGGCCGGAAGCCCGCGTAGAACGCGTCCGCGCCCTCGTCGTCGGCGACGCGCCGCGCGCTCCCCGCGAGCCCGAGGCCCGCGAAGCGCGCCGGGTCCGCGACGACGCGGATGCGGAGCGCCTCGGCGGGGCAGACGCCGACGCACGCGAGCACCGTCGCGAGCGCGCCCGCGAGGAGCACGACGGCCGCGTGGAACTCCGCCGCCGCCGCGGGCGCGAGGAGGCCGTTGAGCGTCCGCGACCAGAACTCGTAGCCCGGGTAGACCGTGAGGCCGTACCAGCAGTAGCCCGCGAGCGTCGCCTCCGCGCCCAGGAACAGCGCGCCGGGGCCCTCCTCGCGGAGGATCGCCCGGCCGCCGTCGACGACGCCCGCGTACCGCCCCGGGTCCGTCTGGAGCCGCGTCTTCACGACGTCGATGGGCACGAGCACCGCGTGCGTCGCCGAGCAGCCGACCAAGCCGGACAGCGCGAAGCCCGCGTACGTCGCCGGGTCGAGCCGCCTCTCCCGGCCGACGCCCCGCTCGCCGCGCTTCCCGAAGGGCGTCGCCGCGCCCCGCGCGCCCGACGCGACGAAGGGCGCGAGGCCCCGGATCTCGTAGGCGCCGCTCGCCGCGTCGAAGACGGGTAGCTGCGTCCGCGGCAGGAGCGCCAGGGGGTCCCGCTCGAGGTAGTCCGCGAGGCCCGGCGAGAACGACGGCGGCAGCAGCGCGCCGACGGAGCCGCGCTTCGCGCCGCCGTAGACGGGCACGCCCGCGACGAGCGCGCGGATGCCCTCGACGGGCTGCCGGTCGCCGCCCAAGAGCGTGAACGCGAGCGCGAGGTGGCGCCGCTTCTCCGGGTCGTCGCCGTGCTGGCTCGCGAGCGACCGGAGCAGCGCCGCTCGGCCCGACTCGCCGGGGTAGCGCCGCAGGCCGTACTCGACGGAGCTCGAGAACGACTCGAACGCGGCCGCGAGCGCCTCGAAGCGGCGCCGCTCGCCGTAGGACGGCGGGACCGTCGCGGCCTGCGCGGCCCACCACGCGGCGCACGACCCGTCGAAGTTGAGCAGGAACCGGCTCAGGTAGGTGACGAACTCCTGCGAGTAGTAGGCCGAGCTCACGCGCGACGCGACGGCCGTCTGCTGCTTGTCGTTCGCGACCCAGTCCAGGATGCCCTCGGCGCCCCACCAGTCGTCGCGGCCCGCGGCGCGCGCGGCCGGCGCGGCCGGCGCGACGACGGACGCGGCGCCGGCGAGCGCGGCGCGCCGGAGCATCGCGCGCCGCGACGGCGCCGCGTTGTCGCTGGGCCCGTCCTGCGCCGCGCGGCGACTCGTGCATCGCCGTCGCGCCGGAGCGATGAACGAGCCGGCGTCCGGCGCCGCGCCGCCGTTGGGCGCGTCGCGCGCGGCGCGGTGTGTCGTGGATCGCCGTCGCGCGGGCGCCGGAGAAATGAACGAGCCGGCGTGTCGCGGCAGCATCCAGAGCAGCACGAGCGCCGCGCGGGCGGCGCAGGCCCGCCGCGAAGGCGATTCTCGTGGCACCATCTTGCAAAGGATCGAGGCCCAAGCGTGTGTGCTTCTCTCGGATGGCGCGCCGTCAACATGCCTTTCATGAGCCGTCAACATGCCCTTCATGAATGCTTTTGCGGGCCGTCTTGCCTGGTCTAGCGGCACAATGGGCATCCGCGCGGCCCTGCTATTGGTCGTCCCGGCCTGCGCCCTGGACTTCCCGTCGCACTTCCTGCGCGACGCCGACGTGGCCGTCGAGCAGCTCGTCGACTACGACGCCAACGCCGAGTTCCTGGAGATCTCGAGCGCCACGGGGCTGCCCCTCCATCGCTACGACGCGTCCTTCGGCGCCCACCCCTACGACGCCGTCGTGGCGCTGCCGGGCGACCCCGCCGCCTACCGGCAGCGGGGCTTCCACTTCGGCGGCGCCGACCTGCCCGCCGCCGGGCCGATCGGCTACGCGGTCGACGGCGTGCCCATCTTCCCCTACTACGACGGCGACGGCGCGAACGCGGTCGAGCCGCCGCCGGGCGGCGCCCCGGCGGACCGCGACGGCTGCTGGGGGTTCCGGGACCCGTCGAGCGGCGCCTACGTCTACCGCATCGCGCCGCCGTGCCTCTACGGCGACGACCGCGGGACCTACGGGTCGCCGGCGGCGGCCGCGCACCTCGGCTTCGGCGCCGCGGTCGCGCCCGGCGGGACCGCGGCGGCGCGGGCGCGGGGGCGGCCCGGGTCCGTGCCCCTCGTCGGCGTCATGGTCGACGGCTTCCCCCTCTGGGGGCCCCTCGACAAAGACGGGAAGGAGCACGGCGGCCTCGACGAGTGCGGCGGCAAGTACCAGGGCAGCACAAGAGTGCGAAATTCCCAACTTCAAAGGCTCCGATCTCGGCCATTTTCCACTCGTTTCGGCTGATTTTTGGACGAGCGATCATCTCTCGGAACGGTCTCGAAGCGTGGATGCGTTTTCGGGAACGCGCGCGCGCGGAACACTCACGTTGAAGCGACGTTGAATCACTCTTGTGCTGCCCAGGCAAGTACGACGGCCGCGGCCGCTACGCGTACTACGCGACGGCGGCGCCGCCCTACACCATCGCCTGCTTCGGGCCGGGCGTCGCCGCGGCGGCGGGCCTCCCGCCGACGCCGCCGGCGTCGCCGGGCGCCGGCGCCGTCGACGCGGGCCCGGACTGCCCCGCGGGGCGCCACGTCGCCGCGGGCGCGTGCGCGGCCTGCCCCGCGGGGCGCTACGCGCTCGAGGCGCCGGCGGGCCGGGCGGCCTACGCCGCCGGGTCGCCCGCGCGCCACTGCGGCGGGTCCTGCGGCCTCGGGGCCTACTGCCCCGCGGGCACGCCGCGGCCGGACGCCGCTGTCCCTTGCCCCGCGGGGCGGTTCGGCGACGCGCGGGGCCTCGCGACCGCGGCCTGCGCGGGGCCCTGCCCCCGGGGCCACTTCTGCCCGCCGGGGACCGTCGCGCCGCGCGCGCACGCCTGCGGCTCCGAGGCCGTCTTCTGCCCCGCGGGCGCGGGAAAGCCGCGCGCGGCGGCGCCGGGGTCCTACACGCTGCCCGCGGTCGCCGCGGCGCCCTGGGCGCCGCCGGACGACGTCTTCGCCTGGCCCGAGGCCGAAGTCGGCGGCGCCTACGCCGTCGGCCCGCGGCCCGCCGCGCGGTGCGGCCTCGGCGACGAACGCAACTGCACCGCGGCGGCGCTCGCGGCGCGGCCGCCGCGGCCGACGCAGGACGCCGAGGCGCCCTGCGAGCCCGGGACCTTCTGCGTCGCCGGCGCGCGCTTCCGGTGCCCCGCGGGCCGCTTCGGCGCGGTTCCGGGCCTCGCCGCGGCGAACTGCAGCGGCGCGTGCCCGCCGGGGTCGTACTGCCGCGAGGGCGCGCCGGCGCCGATCCTCCTGCCCGCGGGCCGCTACAGCGCCGCCGCGGGCCTCGCGGCGCCGGGCGAGGCCGCCGAGTGCCCGCCGGGGAGCTACTGCGTCGCCGGGTCCACGGCGCCGGCGGACTGCCCCGCGGGCCGCTTCGGCCGCGAGCCGGGCCTCGCGACGGCGCTCTGCGTCGCCGACGTCGCCGGCGACGCGAGCCTCTGCCCCGCGGGCTTCGCGTGCCCGGCCGGGAGCCGCGAGCCGCGCGAGATCCCCTGCGGGTCGGCGACGGCCGCGAAGCTCCTCGCGGTCCTCGCGGACCCGGCCGCGCAGTACCCGGCGCACGTCCGCTCCGACGCCTTCGGCGAGTCGGCCTACGCCGGGGGCGGCCTCGGCGCGGCCGCGTTCTGCCCCGCGGGCTCCGCGGCGCCGACGCGCGTGAGGGCGGGCCACTACACCGTCGGCGCGGCCACGCTCGAGCGCGGCAACGCGTCGGACGCGGACGCCGACGCGCGCGTCGCCGAGGTCGCCTGCGAGCCGGGCCACTACTGCGTCTTGGGCGTGAAGACCCCCTGCCCGCCGGGCAGCTACGGCGCGTCGTCGGGCCTCGCCGACGTCGCGTGCGACGGCCCCTGCGCGCCCGGCTACTACTGCGAGCGCGGGTCCGCGACGCCGACGCAAAACGCCTGCGGCTCGCCGGCGGTCTACTGCCCCGCGGGGAGCGCCGCGCCGCTCCCCGTCGGCGCGGGCAACTACAGCGCCGCGGCGACGGCCGGCTACGCGGCGGCCCGCGGCGACGCGCCCGGCGTCGCGCCGTCGGCGGCGGCGGCGGGCACGGACGCGGCGGACGCGCGCGGCGGCCAGCGGCCCTGCGAGCCCGGCTACTTTTGCGCCGGCGGCGTGCGGCGGCCGTGCCCCGCGGGGACCTACGGGTCCACCTTCGGCGAGACGTCGGCGACGTGCGCGGGCCTCTGCCCGCCGGGCATGTTCTGCGTCGAGGCGTCGACGGAGGCGAAGCCCGTGGCCAACGGCACGTACTGCGCGCCCCCCGGCGGCTGCGTCTCGCGGCTCGGCGACGGGCCCTGCGCGCCGGGCTACTACTGCCCCGCGGGGTCCTGGCGCGCGACGCAGCGGCCCTGCTGCGACGCGCGCCGCGACGACGCGACGGGCCTCTGGGCCCGCCACGGCGACGTCGACGTCGTCGACGTCGTCCGCCTCGTCGCCAACGAGGCGACGCCGCGGCACCTGCACGGTGCGCCGGGCGAGGTCTACGACGTCGACGGCTGGCACCAGCACGACCGCCACGCGCCGCGCTGCGAGCGGCTCTACTGCCCCGCGGGGTCCGCGCGGCCTCTCAACGTGACGGCGGGCCGCTACGCCGTCGGCGGCAACCGGACGACGCGGTCCGCCGTCGCCGACTGCGCGGGCCTCTCGTCCCACGGCGCGACGCTGCGCCTGGGCCTCGACCGCGCGCCCTACTGCCCGACGACGCTCCGCGACGAACACGCGCGCGACCGCCGCGCGCCGGGCGTCGACGCGGGCAACGTCGGCGGCGCGGGCGCGCTCCAGGGGTCCGAGGCGACCCACGACGCCGACGGCACCGCGGACGAGGTCGGCGCCTGGGCCCCGCCCGAGTTCCTCGGGCCCGACCGGGACTACCAGTGGGTCTAAAAGTGGGCCTAAAGCGCGCCGCGACATCTTGAGGAGTACTTGAGGGCACGGCATGCGCGCCTGCCCCATCGATGGACACTCGATGGACGTCGATGAAGCAAGGAGCCCTAGCTTACAACATGGCCGAGCCCACGTTCGTGCCCGTCGCGAAGGTCCCCTAGCCGCGCCGCCACACTAAAGCCATGGCCGAGCCCACGTTCGCGCCCGTCGCGAAGGCGCTCCACGAGGCCTTCGAGACCTTCGGCCGGCGCGGCGGGCCCGCCGACGCGTCCTTCGAGGCCCTCGTGGCCCTCTGCGACGCCGTCAGCGACGGCGCCGAGCGCTGCGTGCCCTTCGGCGCCTTCGACGTCGCGCGGGACGCCTGCGCGCGGCGCGCGGCGCTCGTCGCGGCCTGCGGCCGCCACGCGGCGGAGCGGCCGCGCGCCGCGGGCCTGCTCCGGGGCCGCGCCGTCGAGGACGTCGGCGGCGTCGAGTGCGCGGCGGCCATGCAGCTCCAGGCGCGCGTCGCCGCCTGCAAGCTCGACGACGAGGCGGCCCAGCTCGAGGCGATCTCGCGGTGCGCCAAGGCGGCGCTCGAGGCGCTCGGCGACGCGTCCGCCGTGTACCGGAGCCTGGGCGACGACAACGACGCGACGCGGCGCCTCGCGGGGACCATGGCGAAGATCGGCGAGGTCTGCGCGACCTTCGGCGGCAACGTCGACGCCGCGCTGCCGGCGCTCAACGAGGCGCTGACCTGCTACCGCCGGCTGCCAAAGAGCGACGACGTCGACGCGCGCGTCGCGCGCGTCGAGCGCGCCATGGCCCAGTGCCTCGAGCTCCGCGAGACCACGGTCGTGCCCGACGGCCGCATCGCGCTGAACGCGACGGAGACGGCGCGGGCCCTCGAAGAGGCGCAGCCCCGGGGCGCGCTGCTCGACGCCTACGACTTCGCCGTCGTCGTCGAGGAGGGCGACCTCGCGCCGCGCGCCGACAGCCCGCGCGCGGCCGTCGTCGCGGCGCTGGACCTCGGCGAGCTCTTCAAGGCCAAGGCCAACGTCGACGCGAGCGCCGCGGACGCGGGGCCGCCGCGCTGGGCGCTCAAGGCCGAGCTCGACGCGCCGTGGCCGACGGCGGACGCGGCCGCGGACGGCGAGATCCACGCCGTGCTCCTCTTCCGGCGGCGCGCGGACGCCGAGGCGCTCCCGGAGGCGCCCCGGCCCTGGATGGTCTGCACGCACCGCGGCTTCCGCGTCGCCGTCGAGCAGCTCGAGGACCAGGCGCCCGACGCGAACGTCCGGTCGATGCGGTCGAACGCGCACCACCCGGCCTTCTTCCGCGTCCACGACGCCGTCGACCGCGAGAGCGACGACTCGTCCGTGTCCGACGACGAGGCCGGCGTCACCTACGACCAGTACGTGCGGAAGACGCAGGGCATCCACCGGACGAAGGACCGGCCCGAGGACCGCTACCTCACGCACGTGACGCTGACCTTCGACGACGACGTCGCGGCCTGCGCGCGGGCCGTCGCGGGCGACACCGTCGACGCCGCGCTCGCCGCGCTGCCGGACCTCGAGTGCGGCGTGCTCTGCGGCGGCGACGCGACGCCGCGCTGCGCGCACTGCGCGCGGCTCCCCGGCCCGACGGTCCGGGTCCACAAGTGCGCCCAGTGCAGGCGCGTCTACTACTGCTCCCGCGACTGCCAGAAGAGCCACTGGCCGAAGCACAAGGCCTTCTGCTCGACGTCGGGCCCCACGGAGCCCAAACCCAACTACATCCCGCCCAAGTACCACGCGCACTCCTACGACGGCAAGGACCACCGCACGCCGGAGAAGAAGATGCAGGACGCCGTCATGGCCCAGATGGGCATGTACTAGGGTTCGATCTAGAAGGGCGACATTTCGCGGGCGCGCGCGCTAGGGGTTGGCGGTCGATCTACTCAGTAGAAGGACGGCGGCGCGCGCGCGCTAGGGGCCGGCGGTTTGGCCCTTCCGGGCCTTGGTGAGCATCTTGCACGCCTTAGAACGCCTCTTAGAGCTTTTTGATTGAGCAGGGCGCGCGATGCGACCCGATCGCCGATCAAGAAAATTTTGCCGGTGTTTTTGAGGAGTGCGAATCCGGACATCATCGCCTCGCGCGCGCATTTCAGAGACGCGTCACGATGGACGATACGCAGATGACTGAGCTTCGAAACCTGAAAAAGATGCTCGACGAGGGCATCCTGACGCAGTCAGAGTTCGACGAGAAGAAGGAGGCGATTTTGGCGCGCTCGGGGGCGCCGGCGCCGGCGACGAAGAAGACGGGAGCTCCGCAGGCGGATGCGCCGTGCGTGGACGAAGAGGGCCGGTTCAAGCTCTTGATGACCTTCCAGGATTCGACGAAAGTGCACATGAACGTGAAGCCGACGACGACGCTGTTCAAGATTACGCACAAGACCGCGGAACGAATGCAGATGAGCGCCGATACGTTCAACCGCACGTATCGCGTCTTTTTGGATGGGAAGAAGGTGCACCCGGCAGAACTCGTCTCGGAGCAGACGATCGCGAGCCTCCTCGAGCGCCGCGACTACGAGTTCGACGACGAACACGTCGAATTCCAGGTCAACATGGAGCAGCAGGGCGGCCGCCGCTAGACAGCGCGACAGGACGTTTGAGCGCCAGCAGACCGGGTCGCGCGCCGTAAAGATCGAATCCACGCGAGCGATCCGGGGAATTTCGATTCGGGGCCCCTCGCGGTGGGGGCACGCGTCGCGGCCGCACCCGGACCGCCGGGGGGCAAAGCTCCCGCCCGCTCTTGGAAGCGTGCGACGCGAGGCTCACGAGACACGCACCCCTTAGAAGGACAACATTTGGCGGGCGCGCGCGCTAGGGGTCGGCGGTGTGCCCCTGCCGGGCCTTGGTGAGCATCTTGCACGCCTTCTTGTGCGCGGACCAGTCCGCGCGCTGGCACTCGGCGTCGCAATAAAACACGCTCTTGCATCGGCTGCACGCTTTCACAGCATCTGGTCCCGCCTTGTTTCCGTGCTTGCCGCACGCGCTGCATTGAAGAAAATGCACGTCACAGGAGGTGTTGTGTGAGTTCCGGGAAACCTCACGAGCGAGGTCCTTCGCGTCCACTATGTTCCCGCTCCAAGGATTTAGCGTCGAGTCGACGTCGATGAGGCTCCCGAAACGGAAATTGTCGTTTTTTGCGGAGAGAATCGTCTTCCGGAGGTCGGCCACGTCTTCGAGCGATGATAATTTTTCCAGCAGCTGCCGAGCCTCCTTCTTCTTAAAACGCGGAGCGAGCGGTTTCAGGCCGTTCATAATCAGGGGCGGGGCTCGATACTCGGCTTTATATTTTGCCTTGTCGAGCAGCGCCGAATACACGATCGACAATTCGGTCATGCTGCGGTCCGCTTCTTTCCAGTGGTCATAAAACACCTCGAGATAGCCCCACAGCGTGTCGCCGAATCGAAGCGCGCGGACGTAGCAAGCTTCGCCCTTGTCGTACTCGCCCGCTCGCCGCCAGGCCGTCGCGGCGTTCGACCATCCAACGCTCGCTTCCCGCGCGTCGATGCCGTCTCGGGCGGCGCCGATGGCCTCGTAGACCGGCCCGGCGGCGGCGTAGCGCCCGGACGACTCGAGCGATTCGCCGACCTGGCTGGCCGCCTCGACCCAGGCGGGCGTCCCGTGCTTCTGGCGGCGGCACTCGACCATGCACAGGTTGACCAGGTTGTCCCACCGCTGCTTGCCCAAGTACAACCCGTGCAGGTACGCGTGGCACGCCTCGTGCGACGCGACGACCGAGTCGCGCGCCGCCGCAAAGTGGACGACGCGCGCGAGCAGCAACTCCGCCTGCTTTTGAGTGAGGCCGTCGCTGATGCTCGGTCCCGTCGCGTTGTTGTTCGCCGCGATCTGGGACAGCCGCTGCCGAGGGTCGCCCGGCGCGTGCTGCGAGTGCGCGGTGGCCACCGCGTAGCGCGTCCCGCGCTCCGTGTGGCAGAAGAGGAACGTGTTGATCACCGTGTAGCCGTTCTCCATGGTCTGGGCCCCGAGCACGAGCTCCTGGATGTCGCAGTCGCCGCGGACAAAGCACATGAGCTCGTCGACGTCTACCGACGGCGCGAAGGTGCTTCGCTCGAGCTTCGTGTCGAGCGCCGGCACGGCGAGCCGCGAGACGGGCGAGTCGTCGACCTCGAGCGGCCGGGACCACTCCGACCGCGGGCGCGGCGAAGAGGGGTCGCGCGCGCCGGTCGCGGTCTCCGGCGCGCTCGGCGCGTCGCCCGCGCGCTCCGCGAGCGCCTTCAGCGCCTCGCGGCTCCGCGCGCGCAGGTCGTCCTTCTCGAAGCAGTCGGCGTGCGAGAGGCCCGCGCTCGCGATGAGCGCCTTCATCGCCTTGTTCGACATGGAGTCGACCTCGTCGGCGGCGAGTTCGGCGTGTTCTACCTTGTCCATGACCCCCGAGCTCACGGCGCGCACCCTCTTGCTCTGCGACCAGGCGGACCCTTTGCTCTCCGTGGCAGCGCCTTGGCCGGGGCACCGGGCACCGGCTGAGCCTCGGCTGGGGCCCCTCCCTCGCCGCGGGCTCCCACCCGAGCTGAAACCCGCATCGGCGCGACGCGAACCTCACGAGACACGCACCTTTAACAACGCCCCCCCCTCACCGCGGCTTGTCGAGCTGGCCGACGAGGCCGCCGCGCGGCACGCCGGCGAGGCCCGTCGATATGAGCGCGAACCAGGCGCGGACGGCGTGGTCCGTGAAGCCCGGGAGCGCGTAGTGGACGTCCGGGCTCGCGCAGCTCCGCGGCCGCGCGAGGAGGTCCGCGTGCGACGGCGGGTCGAAGCCGGCCGCCGCGTAGGCGTCGCGGAGCTGGCGCTCGAGCGCGGCCTGGTAGATCTCGTTGACGCTCACGAGGATGGGCCGCGACGCCGGGTTGCCCGCGCGCGGCAGGTAGAGGTCGACGAGCGCGCGGTTCGGGAACATGTGGAGGACGACGTCGACCTCGGCCCAGTCGAGGTCGCACGGCGGCTTGGCGTCGCGCGGCAGCTTCTTGAGGTTGAAGAGGTACTGGAAGCAGACGCGGGCCCGCGGGCCGCGGGATCCCGGCGGCGGGCCGTACTCGTAGAGCGCGTGGTTCGGGTCGCACTTGTGGAAGTTCGACCGCGGCGCCGGCGGGTCGAGCGGCCGCGGGTGCACGTCCTCGGCGAAGTAGGTCGGCAGGTAGTCGCGGTCGTAGCCGTCGCACTGGCCGCCGCCCGCCCGGATGGCGCCGACGCTCGCGTCCGCGGCCGCGCCGCCCGCGTCCCTGACCGCGTGCTTCACGAACCCGCCGACGACGGACGCCTCGTAGAGGCAGCCCAGGGACGCGAAGGGCTGCCCCATGAAGGAGAGGCCGAGCATGACCACGGTCATGGTCCCCCGCCGCCGCGACGCCGGCGACGGCGCGCCGCGCTCGAGGAAGCTCCGCGCGACGGCGCTCGGGTGCGGGTCGGGCATCGCGCACGCGCCGGCGAGCGCGCTCCGCAGCGTCCAGCGCCAGCGGACGGGCCGGTCCACGGCGGCCGCGCCGAGGCAGGCCGGCGCCGTGTGGTACCGCGCCTTGAGGCACCAGCAGGACCAGTCGTAGGGCGGGGAGCCGCCCGTGCGCTCGAACGTGCCCTCGGCCGCGACGCGGCCGTGGGTCACGGCGCAGACGCGGCCGCCCGCGCCGGGCAGGTCGCGGGCGGCAAACGCGGGCGCCGTCGCGTTCGCCCGCGGCGGCGCCAGGGCCTCCTGGGCCGCGAGCCAGGCGACGGCCTCGTCGACGGCGTCGGCGCCCGCGGCGGCGCCGTGGGCGAAGTAGCGGGCCCGGATCGCCGCGGAGGCGTTGCCCGGGCCCGGCGCCGCGGCGGCGACGGCGGCGACGGCGGCGAGGCGGGCGACGCGCCTCGCGGGCTGCCATCGAGCCCCCGTCATCGTCGCGGCATCATTGCGTAGTAAAAAGGCAGGTTTGCTACGACACAGTGAAGCCTTGGGCATGGCACGCACAATTCTTCTCGCGTGGGCGGCCTCTGCCGCGCTGGCCTTCGAGGCGCCGGCGCCTCCGCGCCCGCCGACGCGCCTCGGCGCCGGCTTCGGCAAGGCGACGGTCGCGACGAAGGCGAAGCAGATCGACAGCGGCCCCAAGCCCATGGACAAGCAGTGGGACAACTACTTCGCGCTCACGGAGGACGACGCGGCGGCGGTCACGAAGGAGGTCTGGATCACGACGCCCAGCGGCGAGCGGCCGCTGCCGCTCGGCTTCGCGGCCTGCCGCGCCGGCGGCGACGTCGCCGAGGCCGTCGCGCTCCAGAAGGCGCTCATCCTCTGGTGCGCCGAGGGCCTGCACCCGAAGCTCGCGCCCTTCCTCCGCGGCAAGGCCAAGGGCGAGGTCGCGCTCGAGCTCGCGTTCTGCGACGTCGCCGTCGTCTCCGACGAAGAACGGGAAAAGGAGCTCGCGGCGGGCGAGGCCGCGCCGGAGGGCAAGCCCCCCGGCGGCCCGCTCACGATGCTCGGCACGGTCAAGCCGCCGCCGAGCCTCGGCGCCAAGGACGTCGGCTTCATGCCCTTCAAGAGCCCGATCCAGGCGAACCAGGCCAGCGTCAAGCAGTCCGCCGCGAAGCGCGAGATGAGCAGCAGCAAGTCGAAGAAGCGGTAGGCGCCGCGTTTATACGAGTTCGGGGTCCCGGCGTCGACGACGCGGGGCTCCCTACGCGTCGAAGAGGAGGGACGTGAGCCAGTCCTTCTTCGGCGGCGTCGCCGGCTTCCGCATCGCCGGCGGCGCGCCGTCGCCCTCCGCCCGCGCCGCGGCGCGCGCCGCGGCGACGGTCTCGAGGCCGCGGAGCTCCGCGGCCCGGATCTGGGCCGCCTCGTCGCCGAAGTGGTCCTCGACGACGCGCGCGGGCGCCGCCATCGTCGCCGCCGCGTCGTCGGCGCGGTCCTCGACGACGCGCGCGGCCGCCGGCGCGCGGTCGTCGTCGTCGGACTCGCTCAGGTCCTCGTCGGAGAAGAACTCGAAGATGCCGCTCTCGCACTCGTGCCACACGTCGCCGTCCTCGGCCTCGTCGGCGGGCGGGCCCTCGCATTCGTGGAACTCGTCGGTGTCGTCGGCGTCGTCGGCGCCGGCGGCGTTGGCGGCGTCGGCGACCGCGGGCGCCGCCGCGGCGTCGTCGGCGCCGGCGGCGCCGTCCGCCGCCGCCGCGCCCGCGGCGACGTCCGCGGCGTCGCGCAGGAAGGCCCGCTCGAACGCGTGGTCGCCGAGCGCCGGGCCGCGGCCGCCGTAGGCCGGCGGCAGCGCGTCGCCGCAGAGCGCCGCGAGCGCCGCGGCCCGGTCCGCGGCCGCGACGACGTCGACCTTGTCGCGGACGTCGCGGGGGAGGACGGACTTGACGGTTCCAAAGACCGCGGAGAACCAGCGCGGCGCGTTGACCACGAGCACGCGCTCCGTCCGGTAGGGCACGAGGCTCTCCGTGACCTCCGACGCGGCCCCGAGGAGCTGGAGGAACGCGGCGTTGACCTCGCTCCAGCGGAGGCCGCCCGCGTCGAGGACCGTGACGAGCCGCGTGTCCTCCCCTTCGAAGGTCCGCGAGATCCACTCGTGCGCGAGGCAGAAGTGGCGCACGATGCCCGCCTTGTCGACCTCGCCGGACGCGAGCACGGACGTGTCGAGGCGCCCGAGCAGCTCGAAGAAGATCACGGCGCCCGACGGGGACCGGCCGTGGAGGTAGTGCGGGTAGAGCCGCTTCACGGGCGCGACGCGCCGCGCGGCGGCGGCGTCGCGGAGCGCGCCGTCGACGTCGTGCGCCGCGCGCCAGGCCCGCGTCTTCGCCCAGGCCGCGGCGCCGCCGCGCGCCGCGTAGAGCCGCGGCGGCGGCGCCGCGGCGTCCGCCGCCGCGGCGGCCGCCGGCGCGGCGGCCGCCGGGGCGGCGTCCGCCGGCCGCTTCGGGGCCTTCCTCCGCTTCGGGGTCCTCGGCGTGGCCGGCGACGACGCGCGGGAGCCGGACCGGGCGGAGCCGAGGGCGCTCTTCACGAGGCGGCTCGAGCGCACCTCCTTCTTCCAGGTTTGGTGCACGGCCCCGAGGTCGAGCAGCGTCTCCGCCATGCCGCAAGGTGCGGCTACCCGGCGGCGCAGGACGCCGGCTGGCAGGAAGCGGGCGAGGTGCGGCGCGGTGCGGCAGGCATCACGAGGCCGCAGCCGCCCAGCACGTTATGATGTCGGCTATCACCGAAAATCGCAAAGATCGCAGCTTGAACACACCATTCTTTCAAGAAGCGCGCAAGAAAAACTTGCGACGACATGGAGCTGCCATCACTCTTCCAATCGCCGGCGCCGGCGCCAGCCGGCGGTGGCATCGGCGAGTGCGTGATGAGCCGCGCGCGCGCCGACAACAACAACGACGGCGACGGCGACGACTCCGACGGGGCGCCGCTGCTCGAGTCGTTCCAGCAGAGCGCCGGCGGCGGCGCGCGCGTCTACGCCGCTCGCGCGCCGGCGCCGGCGCCGGCGCGCGCCGCGGCGGCCGCGGCGGACGACGGCGGCGCGCCGGAGCGCCACGACTACGCCGCCGCCGACGACAGCGGCGTCTACCGGCGGCACCGCGCGCTCGGCGCGCGCCTCCGGAACCGCGCGAAAACGCGCGACGCGCCGCGGCTCGGCGACGCCTGGTCCGACGCGGCGCTGGAGCGTTTCTGCGCGCTCGCGGCCTGCGTCGTCCTCGGCGTCGCCGTCGGCGCCGCGGCGGCGGCCGAGGCCGCGGCCGCGGCCGCGCTCCTCCGGCTCC